CTCCGATCTAGTTGTAACCAGTGGGACCAACTGGAACGGAGACTAACCAATCAGGCCTAAAAAAAAAAAAAAAAAAAAAAAAAAAAAAAAAAAGAAATTTGGAGCAAAACCGGGGAAAATAATTGAAGACTCTAAAACTTGGTGGGAAATATTTACCGAGGGAATAAATCTGTTCTACCCCACAGATAACCAGCAGATATCACATTCAACATTAATACCAGAAAACATGAAACAAAACCAAGGTTACCTAATACTTTTCTGCGAGAAGATCTCACTGTGAACCTAAAAGAGCTTGTACAGTCTCTGCGTGGTGTTTGTGTGTTTGTGTTACTAGGCAAAGGAAGCAGATAGAAACAGATTGCTAAGTGTACTGTGGTAGTTTGGAGGAAACAGTGCTGTACAGCGACGATCGTCCATGTAGGTGCTTTCTGTGAGAAGTTTCACTTTGGGGCTAAAAGTGCTATTCTGGCTCTGCTGAAGATTTGTGTGTTCCCAGTGAAAGGAAGCAGCTAGACAGGGATTGCTATGTGCAGCATGGTAGTTTGGAGGAAACAGTGCTGTACAGCAGCGATTGTACGTGCTAGCGCTTTCTGTAAGAAAATTTCGCTGTAATCCTAAAAGCGCTTGTGTTGGATCTGATTAAAGTTTGTGTGTTCCCGGTGAAAGGAAGCAGATAGACATGGAACGCTTAGTTTACCATGGTAGTTTGGAGGAAACACTGCTGTACAGCAATGATCGTACATGCTACACTTACTGTGAAAATATTTCACTGTGAGCCTAAAAGCGCTTGTTGTGGCTCTGATTAATGTTTGTGTGATCCCCGTGAAAGTAATCAGATAGACAAAGCTTGCTTAGTGTATCGTTGTAGTTTGGAGGAAGAAGTTCTGTACAGTAACTATCATATGTGCTAGTGCTTTCTGTGAGAAGTTTTCACCATGAGTCTAAAACGCTTCTTGTTGCTCAGATTAATGTTTGTGTTTTCCCAGTAGAAAGGAAGCACATAGACATGGATTGCTTAGTGTACCGTGGTAGTTTGGAGGAAACACTACTGTACAGCAACAATCGTACATGCTAGCATTTTCTGTGAGAATTTTTTGATGATAGCTGAAAAGTCCGTTTGGTAACTGTGATTAATATTTGTGTTTTTCCACTAGAAAGGGAGCAGATAGATTCGGATTGCTTAGTATACCGTGGTAGTTTGGAGGAAACAGTGCTGTACAGCGACGAACGTACATGCTAGTGCTTTCTCTGAGAATTTTTTGCTGTTGGTCTTAAAAGCGCTGTTCTGGCTATGGTGAACGTTTGTGTGTTCCGAGTGAAAGGAAGGAGATAGACAGCCTAAACCTAATCCCAAATGTAACCCCAACCCCAACGCTTAACCTTAACACTAACCCTAAGCCTAACCCTAATGCTAACCCCAAACAACACTGTAACCCTACCCCTACCCCTAACCCCAAGTTACTTCTGGTATTCTTACGTTGGGGACCTATTTTAAGGGTTTGACCACTTCCGGTTTGTACTTATGGGGAGTTCTTTTATTGGAGGACCACTTCCGGTATTTGTCTATGGCAGACTTATTTCGATTACAGACCGCTTCCAGTATTTCTCTTTGGGGGACCCTTTTTGACGACAGACCACTTCTGGTGTTTTTCTATGCGGGACCCTTTTCGATGAATGACCACTTCCGCTATTTCTCTATGGGGGACCGTTTTAGGTGAATGAATGCTTCCGGGTTTCGGCTATTGGGGACACTTTTTGGTAGCTGACTGGTGTCCTGGAGGACTTCCTATAAGGTCCATGGCCTGGAGGACTTCCTGTGATGTCGGGAGGACTTTCGATAAGGTCCGGTACTGTGGAGGCCTTCCGCTGTGGCCCGGGGGCTGGAGGACTTCCGTTGAGTTCAGACGGAGTGTTTTCGGGGTGTGGACGATTTTTATGGAGGATTTTCAGGGGTATGGTGACGTTTTACGTTTGCGGCAGGGGGGTCGATGTGTAGGGAGGCACGGGGGTTGCTTACTAGGGGGTTTGTTTTGGGTGGGGGGCTTCTGGGTGGGACAGGGTGGCGGTCCAGTGTGTGTGTGTGGGTGTGGAAGCGTGGGGCGGTTCTCCTGTCGGGTTAGGGTTGGGCTGTTTGTGTGTGGGGGGGAAGGAACAGGTGGCAGCGGCGGCACCGCCACCCGCACAGTGGGGGGGGGCAAGCAGCAGGGGCGCCACCACGTGCCTAGCGGGTGGGGGGATTAAAAATATAAATATATTTATATAAGTGTATATACAAAGTAAATATATAGGGAGCAAATACTAATAAAAATGATTTACATTTATGTATTTATAATTTTTATTTATACATATAAAGTTGAGTGCAGCAGCAGAACACGGCTTGCAAGCTGGCCCGAAAAGCCATACTTTATTTCTTACATTTTTAAAGTTATTACATCCATACACCTGATTCAATCATTACTCCCAGGGAGATGATATGTTCTACAACTACTACCTTAAACTTTTTTTTCCTTTATATAACAACTACTACTTTAAACTTTTTTTTCTTTATATAACAAAGACAGCAGTGAAATAAATACAGCAAAGTAGAACAAATCAACCTTTATTTTGGAAATAAACACAACAGGCACTCTTAGAAGTTTAATTTTTATTTAAAGCTCTGTAGCACATGTGTTCTTCTTATTAACCCTTACTACCCTAATCACAAGTGCTTCTTACACCTTTATTATCTATTTATCTCAGCTGCTATCTGAACATATCTGTCATAGCATCCTAGGCTTACTGCTGATATCTAACTCATGCCTGCAACCAGGCCGTTAGCATTATCATTTCACATAATAAACATGTTTTTCACCCACTTAACCTAAACTGCTTTCTCTGTTTTTCAGGCTTGTACCGTTGGCAAGAGTCCATCAGACCTAACGGTGCACCTATGCACGTGCTTCCTAACCTGTTGACAGCTACCTACATCTATCGCCTAGTTGCCCACAGATATCTACTTGAAAAGATAAAAGCAAAACCTGACCCCAAATAAATTTTGGTAAGGAACAGCCGTCACTGCCTACACCGTTTCCTTTTGTCTTTCCAAACACCACATTTTGCTACACATGTTAAGGACCGCTGCCGATGTTCTTACTTGTGTTGCTCCTGTCCGTTAATACCGTGATAGACTTTGAACACCATTTTCCCTGAGATTTCTTTACCTGTCCCTAGCTTTCACATAGTTAATTACTGATGCTTAAACTACCTTTGCTCGTATTGTTACACACGTTCCACGTCACTAAGCTCATGTCGCTGAATAACATTACAACTCCCTCACGTGCTCATGCATTTTGTATCACATCCAGGCCCTTATTCTTTCTTTAAATGTGCATCTAAACACTAGAAAAAAATCCATTGGTGTTCCCTTAGTTTGCATGGCTACTTAATGCCTACAATTCTCTATCTCGTAGCTTTCTTTTCCTTTTTACAAAGCATCTCTCACTGACACTGACTACTCTCTCTCGCTTGACATAAGTACCTTTGTCTTCACTGTAAGATCTCCACGACTCGTGTACACACCCAGAAAGCAAAGCAACTCATCATCACATGACATGCACTACTTATGTGCCTGCACCCAGAAACATAATTTCTAAAATATTACTATCAGACATTACAGTACATATCGGCACTGCTTACAATCCTACCGCTGCAAAACACATACACACACCTGCTTCACAAACCTCTCCTCCTCAATAAAGACCATCTAGTTAACGAAAACTCCCTGAATGGATAGACATCTGCCCCTTTCCAGGCAACCGTAATTCAGGAACAACTTTTGCAACAAGGCCTCAAATAAATCTACCTGGCTGAACAAACCCCAGCCCAAGAGAGTTCCACACCCAAACACAGGCGACAATCATCACCACACAGACCAACCGGGAATGGAGAAATAAAACCCTGCCAGGGGATGGGAAAAGAAAATTTTTTTTTTTTTTTTCTGTCTACTGCCTTTAAATAAATCTACATGACCTACAACCTGTAAGGAAAAAATCCTAAAACATGAACCATTCAGGCACTGCAACATTCTGGCCTGCAACCAAACGTAGACGATCGTTGCATTGCACACTGGCCAGGACCAGGGGAAAAAAAAAAAAACAGCCAGGGGACAGGAAAAACAAAAGTTTCGTCCCCATACCGGGTTTTTTCATTAAATCCAGTCTACGTAGTCAAACTGAGCCCCACCTACAAGCTGGAAGAAAAAAGAAAACTAATATTCATACGCAGATAGACACATTCTAAACATACCACTATTCCACCTGCTGCCAAAACCACCCCCCACTCTCCACCGGCCCACCCTTCCGCCCAGCTGTCACGACGGGCAGTCACCCCCTGAATACTGCTCCGGGGGGGACTCTATCACCTAGCCTGAGGAAATCCTGACCCTAACCCGACCTTCACCCAGAGGCTGACCGTGACTGTCACCTCAGAGAGCATCTGCGACAGGGTGAAAATAAACCCCACGGGGGAGACAAAGATGTCACCCAGTTTGAGGATTTGTTTTCTTATTTAAAGAAAGCAAACCCATACGGCATACCCATAAACTCTATTCCACCTATCCCTGACACTACAACCCCAGGCAGAGCAGCTCCAAGCCACACACACACACACACAAAATACTACAAATGACACAATTCAAAGATGACTAAACACTAAGCGATAAGGACACCCAGAAGGGTATGACATAAGGCGAGAAGACTTAGAGGGCCACGATGGTGATATGAGGAGGCTATACGGCAGCCTACAAGAAGCAGTAAGTGGAATGGCCCCTTACAAGAAGCTACCGTCAAAACAGAGACGACAGGTATGCGAGAAGATGGGCTTCAAGACCCGAGAATGTCAGGATACGGGAAAGAAGTCACCGGCAGGAACAACGGATGCCTAAATAGCATGAGCTGACGCCAGAGCCTGCGAGCATGCTGCGCAAAAGACTCCCGACTGGAAACTTCCAAGACCTACCCACACTTTAAGCTTACAACACAAGAATAAAAAGCACCCGATCGGCAGCGTGCCGATGAAGATGGGCGTTCGATACCCTAGGGATGGTGCCTGAGGTGCGTGCTGTGCTCCTCGAGCACAAAGAGATGTGAGGACATTAGAGATCCGAGGAAGGTCAAAGACACGGCAGACAGAAGAAACAAACTACACGATGACACACACAGAGGCTGGAACTGCCCTGCCCGGGACATGCTAACATCGAGGGGACAAGTAATCTGTTCCCTTTACCTGACTGTAGGGCCCTGCTCCTGTACAGCCTTCTCCCCTATGCTAACTTTCAAACACCTCCCTGCAATTCCCAACCTCATCCCCTCCTCTCGGCCCCATTCCCTCAACTCAGCTTTCAGAGGGCCAATTCCTCAACAAAAGCAGCACAGCAGCTAACTAGCATGTTCCTGCAGTTGCCACCTTCCTCTTCATCTGCAATAAAAAACAAACGGGAGAAAACACAACCGTCCGTTGGCATCACACTGCTCCGTGCCTACCTCTTCCACGACACCCCCCTGTACTCGGAAGCAGTCGCGGGGTTCCACTCACCGGCTCTTTGCGGAGTCAGATGCTGCAGCCGTCGTCGCTGGCGTTACCTAAGATACCAAGAGACAAAGTTACCCTTGTGCTTCTAACGGGTCACCCACGATCCTCCTTGCGACTACCCCGGCTCGCTTCAAACGCTCATCCCATCCCAAAGGCGGCTCCCAAAGCACCTGCAAAAACAAGGCGAGCGCTTAACCGAGCGGTCGTACGATAATTCCGTATTAGACACCGACCTGGCTGACAACGGTCTCACCTTCTCAGACTGTCCATCTGCATGTGGCTCGGCCCCTCCGAGGCGATCTGCGGCACCTGCAAAAAACTAAAGGAAAAGACACGTGCCTGAGTTACCGCCTGGAACTGGGGCCTGCCCGCACGGATTCCCAGCTCCTGCTCCCTTACCTCGGCCCTTCACCTGCCCTGCCGCTGCTGTTTCCAGTTGCCACATCAAGGCCCGTGTGCCACCTGTAACACACATACCACAAGGGATGCTTCTACTTTCACCGACAATTTGACGCCTAAAAAATAACTGCTACTTTAACCCCCTAGTCATGGCTCATCTTGCTCAAGCTGCCTCTGATGCCAAAATCCTGCTTTGCTTGTGGCTCTCCACCTAAAAGAAAAAAAAAACAAACTAACAAACAAAACCAAACAACACAAAAAACACACGACACACCACTATCATCTCCTCAGATAGCACTGGTGCCATCTTCCTCCCGCACCGCTCAGTGACCCACCTTCTCACAGCCCTCCGCTCACCTCCTCCGTCACTCTTTGGTGCGCGTCTCGATCTGCATGTGAAAACAGTTATGTGAGTCACCCAGATGCTTAGCAAATCCAGAGGTGTCAATTCCAGCTAGGGATACTATCTGGCATCCAACTACAGGCTGTTATTAAAAAGAAAACCATGCGCCTCCCCCCAAAGTGTACACTCCCACACCTACGAGCCTTAAAACCTTTGAGATTCCATCTTCTTTGCTACTGCTGGACAGCTGCTCCCACACCGCTCCAAGCGTCTCCATAAAGTGCTCCAGAAATGACTGTCCGCACAGCCTGTGGTGGCTACTATGAGGTGACTGCATATCTGTCGCCTAAGCAGTCTAAGCATATCAACATTTAAACCGTTGACTTCTATTGATATTCTACTTACTCCTGACTCTACACCCCCCAGGCAGGGCAGCTCCGAGCCAAACATGCACATGTGTACACTAATGCTAAACGCTACAGAAGGTTCGATTCCAAGATAAACTCTAAGCGATAAGGACTCTCAGACAAGATATGATGTCAGGTGAGAAGACCTAGAGGGCCACAACTGTGAGGCGAGGAGGCTATATGGCAGCCCCAGAAAGTCACACGTTATGGCCCGTTCTAAGAAGCTACCGTCAAAACCGAGATGGCAGATGAGAAATATGACTCTGAAGCCTAGGATGTAGGGATGCAGGGAAGACGTCCCAGTCCGTGAAAATGGACACCTACGGAGCAGAGCTGATGCCACATCCTGTGATGATGCTGCGCAAAAGACAACCGACTGGAAACTTCTGAGACCTACCCACGCTTTAAACTAGTAACATGAGAATAAAAAGCGCCCGATCGGCACCTTACCAATGAGGACAGGCATTCGAGACCCTAGGGATGGCCCCTGAAGCATGTGCCGTGCTCCTCGAGCAAAGAGACGTGAGGATGTCAAGACCCGACGAAGACCAAAGACACGGCAGACAGAAGAAACAAACTACACGATGACACACATGGGCTGGAACTGCCCTGCCCGGGGTATGCTAACATCGAGTGGAGAAGTAACCTGCTACCTTTACCGGACCGAAGGGCGCTGCTCCCACACAGGCCTCTCTCCTACGCTAACTTTCAAATACCTCCTTGAGATTCCCAACCTCATCCCCTCCTCTCGGCCCCGTTCCCTCGACTTAGCTTTCAGAGGGAAGGAGGTCTGAATCCACCCTTGGCAAAAGCAGCACAGCAGCTAACTAGCATGTTCCTGCGGTGGCCAGATCCCTTTATCGCCTGCAAAAAAGCAAGAAGAGCACAACTGCCGGTCAGTATCACGCTGCTCCCCGCTTACCTCTATCCGCAACACCCCCCCGTCCTCAGAAGCATTGCGGTGTTCCGCTCACCTGATCGTTTTGGAGCCAGATGCCGCAGCCGTTGCCGCTGGCGGTACCTAACTTACCGAGAGACAAAGTTACCGTTGCGCTTGTGAGAAGTCACCGACCCCGTGCTCGTCCTCACTACTACCCCAGCTGCTTTCGGATACTCAGATGATCCCAAAGGTGGCTCACATGGCACCTGCAAAACCAAGGCAAATGCTTAACCGAGTGACCATGTAAGACTGCGCTATTAGACTCGGACCTGGCTGACGACCGCCTCGCCTTCTCAGACTGCTCATCGGCACGCTCCTTCACCCTCCCGAGGCTACGTGCGTCACCTGCAAAAAAACAAACAAAGTAGCAGCACTTGCCAGGATGCTGCCCAAAACTGCACCCCACCCATACCGATAACTGTCTCCCTCTCCCTTCGTTTACGTGCTCACCCGCTCCGCCTCTACAGTTTACAGGTTGTCACATTGAGGCTCGGGTACCGCTTGCAAGACAAACAACAAGGCGTGCTTCTACCTTCACCCGTGTGACACCTGAAAAGTAACTGCTGCTTCAGCCCCCCCTCGCCCACATCCCCTCCGGGGCCGATACCTCACTTTGCTCGACGCTTTGCGCCTTCCAAGTAAAACGCGCCTATCGGCTAGTCATAGAGCCACCGGTCCCACCTTCCCCCACGCTGCACGCCAACCCACCTTCTTAAACCGCTCCGTTCACCTCCTCTGTTGCCGTTAGGTGAGTGAGTCGTCCCTCTTCATCTGCAAAAGCGATATTGAATGCGTCACCCGGATGCGGAGCGATAGCTTGACAGTTCCAGAGATCCCATTTTCATTTAGATATACCACCCCAATTCTCTCTACAGCCTGCTGTCAAAAAAACTCTGCTCATCCCCTGCGTGTCTGCGTAGCGCTACAGAAAGAACTCTCCTTGCCTGTTGGCTACATAACTAGTTGCTCTGAAATGGACGGTACGCCCTTTCCCTACAAACTCTAGGCTTATGCACATAGAACCTTACTGTACTTCTTTGGCTGACTGTCACCTCTACGTACCCAGGCAGAGCCGCTCCAACAGAGACAAACACGCACAGACCGACACAGCACACAAACAGGGCGAGAGACATAAAATAAGCTCTTTAAGAGGAACAACTCAGATCGGAGATGCTCTTGGACAAGACGACCTACGGGGCCGTGAGGGAGAATGGACGGCAGGCTGAGAAGAGTCAAGTGTTGTGGCCTGAGAGAAAACCTTATAGCCTCCACAGGGATAAGGTATGCGCAAGTAACCTCGCTTCAAGACCTAAGAATGTCAAGATGCCAGGAAGAACTCCCAGAAAAGATATTTGTGAAAATGGATCGCTCTAGATCAGAGATGCTAACGCAGCCCGGAACGACATTGCAAACGCAGCCTGACCGGAATCTTCCGAGACTTAGCCACGCTTTAGGCTAGTAAAGCAAAAACAAGAACTGCCCGGTTGGCACCGTGCTGATGAGGACGGGTGTTCCGGGCCCAAGGGAAGATGTCCAAGGCACCTACTGTGTTCCTTGAGCTCAAAGAGCCACGAGGACGTCGAGACCCAAGAAAGGTCTAAAGACACATGAGACAGACAACACACGCTACACAACAGACACGGGCCGGAACTGTGCTGCCCGGCACGTGCTAACCTCGTGCTGACAAGGAACCCCTTCCACCCCTGCTTCAGCTGCCCAAAGAGCACTGTTCCTGGACAGCCCCCTCCTGTAAATTAACTTTAAAACTTCTCCCTGCAATTCCCAACCTTGGGCTGCCCCCCAGAGCCTTCTCCCAAGCACCGGTCCCTCAACTTATCTTTTATGGTGCCGGGGGTCTGAATCCATCCTTGACAAAACAACGCCCTGGGTAACCAGGTTATTCCCATAGCTGCTAGGTTCCTCTTTGCCATCTGCACAAAAACAGGGTGAGCCATAAGGACCTTATCGGTTGATGTACACCGCATCTGCAACACCCTCCTCCTCCAGAAAAGCAACATAGCTTTACTCTCACCCCATCTCAAAACCGTAAAAAATCCTCTTCTTCTCAATTGCCAGTGAAGGATCCGTGCTCCTTCCTAGAATTAAAATTAAACAATACACTTTATTAAACTATCTTGCCCTCCCAAATAAAATTACTAATGTAAAGTTAAAAAATAAATAATAAATAAATAAATGAAAAAGGCAAGCTACATATAAACATTCTATCTACTATATATGATGCTGAACCTTGACCCATCCCGAAAATCTTACCTCAAATGACTCTTTTCCTCTAGAGGTCAAAACACATCTGTCTCAAAAGCTGCTATTGTCTGAAGGACTGGGAGAGCACTGACACCTGAGAAACCCAGAAGTGGAACGAGCTCCCTGTTGAGTGGCTGGGGCTCATATACCCCGGGCCCCGCCCACAATCCCCTGGGAAAGGGGCGGGGCCAACCCCCGCAGGTATAAAGTCAGCCAGAGGAGCAGAGGGGAATTTTCTCCTCTGCCTGAAGTTTGTAACACGCGTAGCGCTCTGTGGAGAAAGCGACTCTTCCCAGAAATGACGATACCCGCTCCTTTACTGCACCTGTTGTCTGTACTGGAGCATTTTACCAGATATTTGTCATTTGAAAAACAAAAATTAGGAAAAAAAAAAAAAGCCACTTGTGAGCACAGATCAGTAGAGAAGTCAGCAAACAAACATTCATTGTACATTGTCAAAGTCTCATGAATTTCACTGTAACTATGCCAATGTGTGACTTTCAAAGAATTTTCTGTGTGTTGGTCAAACTCAGCTGGCATGGCAGTCAGACAGCAAGACTCATCATCCAACAAGTGTGCTACACAGAAACAACTTTTGCTACATTCTGCTTTTTCAGTTAAAATAATGCCAACACTTAACATGCAACAAAATTAAAACAAATACTTCAACTAAATGGACTCCAAGCCTTAAGACTAATACTAACAACATCAATAATAACAATATTAATAATGATGATGATAACAATTAGTCCTTTAAAAGCAATCAGGTATGCCTTCAGGATCAATCAGGCTTTTGTATCACTGAATACTATTTTTTTGAACGTGTTTAAAAAAACAAAACAAAACAGAAAAACCCCACAAAACCCAGAAACACAACCAATGAGTTTCTCTTCTACCAGTTAAGACACTTGATTAAATGTTGCAGGGAAGGAAGCATAAAGACTCATAGAAACTGATTCAGATCTCGCAGGACTACATTCTTGCTGTCGGTAAATCAGGAACTTCTACATATTTAATTTCAAATTTATCTCGTTAAAGCTAAGTCTCCATATCTAGAATATATGTTTCATTCCACGTGAGAGCATGGAATATATGTTTCATTCCATGTGGAAGCAACATGCTGAACGCCTTCTAGCAAACAAAACAGTTCAGACTGGGCTCATATACAGCTACTGCTGGCACAATACCCACATTCAGCAATAGTGAAATTCAAAAAATGCCCAATCATGAAAATGTTTTAGCTCCAAGAACTTCTGATACTGCACTGAGGAAGTTATGCATACCTTCAAAGAAAAACAAAACAAAACAAACAACCCAGCTCCAGTAATCAAGTTGTATTTCTGCTTTTATTCAAATAAATTTTAAAAAATACTTAGAGCAAATATTTACATGTTCAATCCAACTACTCTTCAAATGCTCCGGATTAATAAAGAACAGGTTCTTACAGTAATTATCAGAAGTTCTTAGAACAAAGCCTTGTACTTTTGGAAAAGCAATTGTTTGCTGAACATTTAATCAGTGTTGAAAAATCCACAAGAGAACACTGTTCCTATAATATGGTATTCCTCCATCTCCCCCTGAAGGCAGAGGCATTTTCAGACCATGAGCTGCTTTACAGGCATTGAAACCACCTAGTAATGCATAAAGGACATTTCAGAAATATGGCAAATTGTATCACTGATCTGAAAAAACTGAAGACAGTTTTTTGTAATAAAAGTTTCACTCCAGTCACAACATCATTTTTCAGTTTTCTGAAAATATGATGGCACTGGAAAAATCTGATTTCTATCCAAGATAGTATCCAAACAGATGGCTTTTGCAGGTAAATTCACTTTGTATCTTTAAAGTCACATAACTAAAGCATAGATGTTTTAAGTTCAAACCTTTTGTCTCTTATTCCAAATACTGCTAGTTTTTCTGTGCTTCATTTCTCAATCAGCCATATTTTTTGCATTAAGACAGCCTTTTATTGTTGCTCAACTGTTAGAGCCAATATGACCTGCATTTTCAGGTAAACATACTCCCATGCTCTGTAAAATGTTAGAGGTGGGTCTGCCAGTCCAGATTGAGCACTGTAGGATTCGAGCAGGTTAGCTACCAGGTTCTGATCCACATCAGCTGGTGTCAACTCATTATCTTCAGCTCCGGAATCAGGGCCAGCACTTTGAGACGTAGTTGCATTAACAGAACTTGCCTATAGTAAGTATAAAGACAAAATTTTATCAAACTTTATAAACAGGTTTAAAAAAAAAAGACAAACCACAAGAGAGAAGAAAACAAGGAAACAGTTCTGCAGCCAACAAAGTTCAGTATGTTCCACACTGTCTTGACAGACAGGAATTTAGTCACCAAATGCTCATGCCAGTTAAAAATCATCACTTTCCATTATACAGATAAAGTTCCAAGAGAAGGACATAGAGGGTTACTGAGTCCTGGCTCACTTTCCTATGGGAGTGATCTTCTACAGGAACTCAAATCCTCAAGCTGCAGCTGCTTGCCTTACTACTGAAACAGGGTAAAACAGGGAAATGAAACTAAGTCTTGGAAACAATGTGCAAGTTAAAGCTTCCCTAAGTTAGTTTTCTTCCCACCCCCCCAGAAAAATACACCATGGTGCAGCTGCAGCACATTTTGCTTGCGCGTGTGATTTTCATTTAATTTTTTAATAATTAGTTAGCACGTGATTAGAAGACAGAAGTTTTTGATTACGTTACTCGGAATGATCACTTTTACTATACTTCCTCTTTCCTACTAAAGCTCTCAAAACTTTATGCTACAAACTAGAACTCGAGGCATACTTACCCCTTTCTTTTGGACGGTGAAACTTTTACCAACGTTGGTATGTGCCAGGTCACGGTCCATCTCACTCATGTATGACTTGAGACTGCCTATAAGCTCATTAGGCGGCACCTTCTGGTCTTGCCTTTGATCTTCCACATC